GCTGGACCATAACCGCAACATCACCAGTCTTCCAGCTCCCCTATCCTCACCAAAGCCTTCTCTCGCAGAGCCCATCCTTCGGCCTTTGACACCATGGGTTGGCTGAACCGCCCCAAGAAGAGCGCCGAGGAGCGCTTGGCCGAGAATATCAAGCTTGTCGGCCCAGAAATCGCGGCGGTATGTTCAAGGAGAAAATCGGAATCAAAACTAGAAGTGTCCCGAAAAGTACGCGAGGCCAGCCAAGCTAATGACTTTTTTCAACTAGGCCCTCCCCGACAATGACAAGCCATGGTGGAGGGAGATGCATCTCATCCGACTCAATGCCCTTGTTTTTCTCTGCTGCATGTCCGCTGCCACGGTGGGATATGATGGTGAGTAAATCCCTTCGAGGCCGACTTGTACGAAGGAGACACAACTAATACTTATAAAAGGCGCCATGATGAACGCCTTGCAGATCAACCCGTCCTGGAAGTCGTACTATCACTACCCTGCCAAGGCGAAATTGGGCGCCATCAATGCCATGTTGCCAGCCGGCAAGGTCATCGGATTCCTCTTTGTTGCGCCCTTCTCCAACAGGTTCGGACGCAAAAAGTCACTCGTGCTCGCATTTGCCATCACCGTGCTTGGCGCCGCCTTGCAAGCTGCGTCTGTCAACTTGGGACTCCTGATCTTCTCACGCTTCTTCCTGGGATTCGGCTGCGGTGTCATGTCCCAGCCTAGCCCTATCCTGGTCGCGGAGCTGGCATATCCCCCCCATCGCGGAAAGGTCACGGCGCTGTACCACTGCTTCTATGTGAGCAAGAGCCCTCTCAAGAACTCATAATAAGTTATCAGTTACTCACCTTTTTCTAGTTCGTTGGCGCCATCGCCGCGGCTTGGATCACCTTTGGCACGCTCAGGATGACTGGACCTTGGAGTTGGAGGATCCCGACGCTCCTCCAAGGAGCCGCTCCATTACTGCAGCTCATCTTCTCCTACTTTCTGCCAGAGTCGCCCAGGCAAGTCCACTCTATTGTCATGCTGTCGCTCTCGCGTGGTTGACTCTTCTGACTTTCTCTCGCAGATTTCTCATTGCAAAGGGCCGGGACGACGAAGCACGCGCGCTGCTGATCAAGCACCATGCCGCTGGTGATGTGAATTCCGTGCTCGTCCAGCATGAGGTCGCTCAGATTCGGGAGGCGGTGCGGACCGAGAATAACTCCGAGAAGCGGCCGACGCTCAAGAAGATGCTCGCCAGCCCAGCAAACCGCCGACGGCTTCTCATTTCCGCCATGGTGGGCATCGCAGCTCAGTGGTCGGGTAATACTGTCGTCTCCTATTACCTGGTACTCGTCCTCGAGGGCGTTGGCATCACCAACGCTACGCACCAGTCCCTCATCAATGGAGGCCTGCAGATCTTTAACCTCCTTGCTACGGTGGGATGCGGCGCCATGCTGGTCGACATTTTGGGACGTCGTCGCCTCTTCCAGTGGTGCGCCGTGGGCATGACGGTGTCATATGTTGTACGTAACTATCTGTCATGAGATTATCCTTACCCTACCGCTACCACAATAGCTAACAATAATCAGATATGGACGATCCTCAACTCCCGATTCGATGCTACTGGCTCCGCTGGGTTTGGCTATGCCGTCATCCCTATGCTCTTCGTCTTCTACTTCCACTACGACGTTGCCTTGACGCCGCTCCTCTACTCGTATCCGACCGAACTCTTCCCCTACGAATGGCGAAGCTGGGGAGTTGCATTCACGCTGATTGTGACAAACGTCACGCTGATTATTGGCCAAGTCTGCAACCCAATCGCGATGGCCAAGCTGGGCTGGAGATACTACATTCTCTTCTGTATCCTCGACGGCCTTTTTGTCGTGCAGGTCTGGCTTCTATTCCCGGAGACGAAGGGTAAATCCCTTGAGGAGCTTGAGGGCATTTTTGACAGGTTGGACGCCGCTCCTCTGGTCGATGTGGAGATGCAGCAGACAATAAAAACACCTTCCTGAATTAAGACCGAAACAGAGGCACAACACTATTATGCTCCTACAGCACGAGGCTTCCTTGGAAGTCGTTTCTGTCTGGGCTTTTTGGGATTTCTCGCAGGCAAAGACCCCTCAGCAACAGAACCCGCAGGCATAGAAGCTGCAGAGATCAAAGTCATTCCTTCGGGTAGAGCGGGGTGGTTCATCTTGGAGAACTAATTGGTGATTAGGAGACCCATGAAAAGGCGGCGACAAGAAACTTACTCTGCTCAGGTTTTGCGGAGTCATGTTGGGCAATACCACACTTCCAGGAACCGTTCCTTGTAGCTGTGAGCGGCGGAATGAGAGCAAGAATAAACACAGTCTTACCAGGTTGTGTTAGGAACCAGCACTTGGCCCCTTCGTGAAAGCGGTTTCCACAATGCGGGCATCCAGGGCTTGATACCGCTGCTGGTACCACAGCCGGTGCAGTACTTGGGGTTGGGGCCTGCCCAGCATCTTGAGAAGCCTCGAAGGCAACCAAGATAACATTTATCCGGTCGAGAAGTGCGTCTGCAGAATCTTGAAGAGACCTGATTCGAGTTGGAGTTGGGCGTCGCGGTTCGATAGAAGGGATGGCGGGGCCCAGATCAAAGGCATCGGGAGAAGGAGGAATGGAGTTCCCGTCGACGGGGGCGAGAGGGGGGGCCGGTGGTACGGGCGAGAAGAATCTCCCTTCGTGACCAAAGTAATAGGACGCCATCTTTCAAGCACATGTCAGTAAATAGGGGGGAATGAAGGACGGGGTTTGAGACAACTTACTACCCGCGGGTTTGGGTTATCTCGTCAATGAAGATCCCAAGCAGCCAGCTGAACGGTGGATCAGTTGCATCTAGAGTCCAACTGGAAGGGGGCGTAGGTCTCGGTCGAAAGGCAGAACAAAGCGATTGACAAGGCACAACAGGCTGTAGCGACAAACATCTGCGACGGAAAGAGATTGGATAGGAGTAGCAACGCGCACACAACAACTCATAGAACTGGAGCACAGAGGAACCCCAAGCAGACAGAGGTTGAGAGTGCCACACGCTAGGGCAGCGGGCAGCGGGCGCGGTGGGGTGAAGAGTGAAAGAAGTCGGGTGCGAGGAAGCTGCAGGAGTTTCATGCTCTTGAGCTCTAGTCACGGGACCAGCCTCAGTGATTCAGTCGCGGTTGTTTGCTCTTCGGAGCGGGTGAGCCTCAACCAGAATCGTACACAGTGTATTTATGTGACAGATTGAAGAGCACCAGGGTCTCATCCAAGGTGCCCAACTGTGACATCCGCCAAATACCCAATATTAAGGAGATAATTTGCGCCAAGACCTCAATAACCCTCTGGTGCACGGATTTGATTCTGGGGGCTTTTTGTTTCGTCAAGTGAGTCCATCGTGCGCTTTCTTTCAACAGTGCAGAGTACGGAGTGTCACAAATCCTCTAATCGCACTGTAGGTAGCCCTTCAGTCTCGCTCAAAAAGCTGCAAACGAGGTTAAACTTGAAGGATGCATTTGCCGCTCTAGCTTTTCGACTGAAATCTTGTAGCAGAGGTTGTTTGGCTTCAACGAAGGAGAAGCCACAGGCGTGTCGCAGTGGCTGTCTGATATACGATGCGGCTGGAGAGTTGTCGGTTCACAGCGCGAGTCGTCTAAATGATCCCGGCATCTTGAGTTCATGAAAGGGGGGCAGAGATGCAAGCTTCCTCCAATGTACAATATGGGATGACATATGGAAGTCATGCTGTCTAGGCGGAAATGAAAGTGGTAGACAACTCAGGCCAACTGCAATCGCTAGGTGAATTCACGGTACTCTGCATCCAAATGTCAACAGCTCCGGGCAAGTACAAAAGCTGGAACAAAACATAAAACAAAAAGAGAAATCCGGTACAGTACAGTGTTTCCACTTCAACCCTTTTTCTTTGGCTAGCTCTTCAATGGTCCTGGAAGCTATCGCCAATGCCACGTCCCATGCATGGCAGTACGAGCAAATGACAAAAATGATGAGACTGGGATTCGAACCCAGGCCCCTTTCGAGACTGCGAATCGTTGCTAGTTTGAATCAAACCTGAACACAGCGCCTTAGACCGCTCGGCCATCTCACCTTATTTGTTGGATTCCGCCAACAGACTACTGTAGATAAATGCCGCAGTGGCCCACGTAGACATCACCCACACGTAAACGCGCCCGGGAACAGATACTGCTCATATTTAATCACAGGAGGCAGACATTCTGCGTGGTTTCGATCATTCTTTTCAATTTTCAATACTTTAGGCCTTGACTGTGATGATAGAGTGGTATTGACTAGCTGTAAAAGGGTTTGTCACAAGAAGGGATTGGTCTTGTAAGTGAGGCCAACCATCCAATTTCCAATCCAGGACCGAATGACTTATTGTTCAGTCAAGAATATGTCTTCTCCAAGTAACTCTCAAGCTTATGTGAAGCGTCTTGCATAGCTTTCCACTGAGCATTGGAGAGGGAGATGTAATACTTTAAACTACAGTTGCGTCACAGCGATAAAATAACCCACAATATGTAGCCCCCGGCATAGGTGTGTTAATCGCAGTTATCAAAGTCATCGAGTCCTTTTTTGTCCTTCAAGTCCTTGTCGAGGACTGCCACTCTCTCGGTTGGCCTCTGGCCAGCCACAAACAAGATCACTGATCTAACTTAACAACAGACCCATTGTTCCTGTGGCCGGAGTCATCCCATCAGCATCTCATGGATTCTTTAAAGAAAGGCCCCTGTACAGAGGTTTTTAGCTAGTAGATGAATCCCCAAGCTTGTATTCGTCGGTGGAGGACGACTAGCGGAAGACTCCACGCCTAAAGCATCCACAACCACCAAGCAACCTGACTCCACTACATCAAAATCTGATTCTAGCGGCTTTTCCAACCCTTCAACGTCGCAATTTGCCTTCTACACAATGCTCATTCGCTCAGAGATGCTTCGAGATGGATGTTACATCACAAAACGACGTATTGACAAAAAGAGAAGGCATTAACCACACATATAAAAAGATATTGATACCTGAGGGATTCGAACCCTCGCCTATTACTAGACTGCGAAACGGCAATGTGGGAGAACCCATACCTGAACACAGCGCCTTAGACCGCTCGGCCAAAGTACCATCTGATTGGTTGAGACTCGGGGAGTCTATTGTCCATTAGACGGGGCTCCTTGGACTGGAAATCATATCAAGACGTCCGTTGTTCAGTTGAGAATACCCTGTACCAAACCTAGTTGCCAGACTGCTATCATCTCTGGCTGTGAGAGGTGGGGTTTTGCGCCTGTTACTTTTCTAATTGCTAAACAGCTAACACAAGACCGGTAACGACAGAAGCACGACGGGAAAGGCGCAAGGGAATGTGAAGGTGTAGTGTAGAGAGTACATTCGTATATCAAGGAGGCATTACCAATTTAGTTGTCATCGAATTATACCCAATGTCCATAACCAAATCGAAATAAACGTTAGACTCCATAAAGTCTACCTCACATTTAATTTAAGCCAAGTAAAAGGGTACAGCGACGAGATGCTGTCTCATTCTAAGATAAGACGCTAGAGAGTAATTTAGTTGAAAGTTAACACAGCGACCAATTAATTATTACAGTCACCAGCCAAAAAAGTCACAGTACAAAGAAGAAAAATAAAACAAGCGCACAGACCACCACAGGTGCGCACACCCCAAGAAAATTTGTCGCAGTGAAATTTTAATTTGGATTGAAAATCGGATAAAACAACAAAAAGAGAGGATCCAAATCTTGAGAAATGGATAGAATAGGTTGACTTCCTTGGGATTCGAACCCAAGCCTCTTACGAGACTGCGAATTGTAATAAGTTGACTAATCAACCTGAACACAGCGCCTTAGACCGCTCGGCCAGAAAGCCTATTGTTTGATGGAAGACTTGAGAGAAAGAACAGTACAAGAACCCACAGCAATCCACTATCCAACAAGCGGCCCCCACTTCGCTCGGTTGCCCGGTTCTGGTCATTCATGAAGTGAGAGGTGGTAAACACAACGTCGCCCTTGCCAAGTCAACAAACATACGCTTTCAAGCAACTTCAAGCTGTTAGGACAAAAGTTGATTATAATAGCAGTTATTTAAGGCACCACTGCGCAGTCAAGAGCTTTTGTCGTGATATTTAGAATCAGATAAATGGATTGATCAAACACCAGAAGGGAGAGTTGCTACTCTGAAACATTGAGTTTGAAGTATACCCTGGCCCCAGGGCTCATAAGATCCAATAAGAGCAAAAATTCCAACAAATAAGGTGAGATGGCCGAGCGGTCTAAGGCGCTGTGTTCAGGTTTGATTCAAACTAGCAACGATTCGCAGTCTCGAAAGGGGCCTGGGTTCGAATCCCAGTCTCATCATTTTGTCTTTTTGCACCCTATTGCCGCTGCTTTCATGCGGTGTTGATTTTTGCAGGCTTAAGGTCTCGCATGGCCGTGTGGAAAGATACTTTCCTGGGATGGGCGGATTTAATTGCCTCTTTTGGGACGTGCTGATTACATCATACTTTCTTACCCATCATTCCGAGACCGCCGAAGGGGCCGAGATTGCTGAGAACGGTAATTTCTCAACGTCACTTGCAGGGGCCACAGGTGCATCTCAGGCATGAGCGATCTGATTGAGCATTGTCCTTTGGTGCTACAGTAAAAGCTCCCTGTCAATACCTTCTCAATTCTGGAGTTCACTGCCAGAAGATCATTCGTGCCCAATTCAATGCCTCCACAAAGCGCAGAACAACCCAGTCCAAGTCTCAAGCAGACACTCAGAAATCGACACCTGAGCCGCAATCGCCCGTCATGTCTGCCTTGCAGGGAACGAAAGGTCAGGTGCACCAAGGAGGTGCCATGTTCAACTTGCATCAAGCGTGGCCATCCAGACCTATGCACGTACAGGGACTCTACAGCGCGACAACCGCAACATCACCATTCTTCCCAAGGACCACCGAGAGTCAGCCCAGCCACATCACAAAATACTCGGCACCCACAGAGAAGTGTTTCAGTGGAGCCATCCATTCTATACGACCCGCAGAGCAGTACGACAAATAATGTTCAATATGAACATACCGCTAAAGACAGCGCAGGTATACATGACCCGAATGAACAAGTCGCAAATTCCAGTCTGTTAGACGACAACTCCTTAGTGGCCATTACCAGACCGCACTCTTCAGCTACAACAGACAACCCAGATCGAACAATTGCCTTTCAGGCCGGCATATTACCCCTCTTGGGTGCTACTCCCGAGGAACGAGCTTCAGATACCTCTCCATACTCGAGGGCGGCCCTCTACAACGGTTTCCCAGATGATCAGCTTATCCTCGAGCTATTTGATGTGTATCGCTCCCGAGTCCATCCATTTCATGCCATTACCTACAATCTAGACGAAATTGAGCAGAAGCTGTGCGTCTTCATCAACGATCGAGAAAGTGGTGCCAGTGCCAGCTCACCTAGATCCTTACAAGAGTCCCACTGGCTATGTCTACTGCATGCCATACTAGCGTCAGGGGCGCAATTTTCGGATTTCAACTTACAGCGTCGTTCTGAAGTGTCTCAAAACCACAGTAAGTCAGGCCCGGAGGAGTTGGTTTGGGGATATATTAGTAACGAGGCACAGTCAAGTTTGCCTTTGAGGCGCTCAGGTCGACCGATTACCTGGCTCGACCATCCAAATTCACACTCCAAACTCTTCTTCTACTTGGAAGCGCTCTACAGAATGACATGAAACCCCAAGCAGCGTGGGTTCTTGGAGGGACCACCATACGCCTAGCCCAATGCCTAGGGGTCCACAAAGCATCGAGAAGACGCTCTCACTCTTTAATTTCACCCCAAGAGGCATCATCCCTCCGGTTCGTCTCACTACTCTACCGTTTCAAGTTCTTCAGCTAACTTGTATATAGTATGGCCATTGTATGGCAAGATTCTTTGCTGTCCTTGGCTTTCGATCGTTCCCCAGGCTCCTATGATATGGATCATGAAGACGACCTACAGAAATTGGATATAGCCGCAAGCAGTGAGGGTCTCGGATACCGGCCTGCCATGAACTGGTTGTGTCACATTTCATTGCAGTATCTATCTCGCAAGTCGACAACAGGGTCTAATCCTGATCCCAAGTCGATATTCCATGACATGGAGTTAATCGAAAATGCTCTGCAAGGTCACCTCAAAAATCGGTCGTCTTGCACATCTATTCGACAGGTCCAGGAATTTTATGCGTTCTCACTTCATAAGAATTTTGTGGTTGCTACGCTTTGTCGCTTATTCGTATCTGTCATCAGACCACCGGTAGAGTCGACAAACGGTGAAAGTGTGATCGGTCGCTTCCAGGAGGCTCTGAAGAGTAGCGCCAGGGCATATGTTCGCCTACGACATGTTGCTGGCTACGCGAGACGCTCTTGGGCGTCGATCCATAACGGACTATCGTCGGTCCTTCTGTTAAGTCTTATGAAAGAAACGAGAAACACTGCGGATACTCGCGAGCTTCAAATTGAGTTAATCAATAGTCTTGTAGAAGCAGATGCTGGCTCCGAATCTGTTGGAGGAATCGACTCCACGGCACATCAACTTTCCGACACGCATAAAAAAGCTCTAGATGCGCTCAAAAGGCTCAAATGCATGTCAGACCAGGATAGAAACACAGAGATGTCCCGAAACCCTCTAGAAGGTGGTTCAGATGAGATGAATACATTTCCCAATGAAATCGATGCATCTGCCTCGTCGGATTATTTTACTCAACTAGAGTAAGCTATTACATGTCTTCTGGAGAAAACTACTAACAAAGATGCAGGTCCTGGAATATGGAAGATTGTTTTCAGTCTTTCGATGAAACAATTGCCCCTTGGGATATTTCTGGTCCCATCATGCCAAATCAGTATCCAGAAGTTGAAGATTTCTTGTATCAGTCACTTAGTTAATCATACCATTCTACTTCTTATAGCCCAAGGTCTCCCACTTCTCAAGCACCTTAGCCTGAATATCTTCAGGAAATGACTCCTTGAAATCAGCTGTTTCCCAATTCTTGCCTGTAGTATACTCAACAGGTAGCAAACAATCCGAAACCACCTTGCCTCCCATCGTCTTCGACCCGTTTCCATGAGACATGTAAGGAATGAGGGGGAAGCCACGAACATTCTCGAAGTTATACTCATCAGTTCCAGGACGACAACGGGTGCAGAAGGCCCAAATGACATCCTTGAAGTTATAGATGTCGATATCCTCGCCAACGATGAGAAGTCGATGAATTGTGTACCCGGCTTTGTGGCTGAATACGATGTCGCCAATTTTGCGGCAAAATTCTTCTGGTGTAGTCTTCAATGCTCGTAGCTTTGTTGCATCAACCTGAAGAGCAACCCAAGTGACCTGGGACTCCAATGGCGAGAACGATTCGGTGATAGGAAGGCCTTGAGACTTCAGCAGATACCCAATTTCAGCGGCGGCAAGAGGGCCAATCATTGTGTGCTATTAGGTTAGTATAACTTCAGACGATGTTAAGAATGAATATGCTTACTGTCTCATCTGACAAACGTCCACAGTTAGACACTGGCAAGATAGCATCCTTTCTGTGTGTTATCATGTCGACCCGATATTTGGGCTGGGGGTGGGAATCCCCGGGGAAGGTATAACTAATCACTGTCAGTAATATACTGCTGCGGTTAAAGGACATGATCTTACCCATGCATTTCGCCAAAAGGACCCTCTGGAACCCTATCGGTTATCGAGCAAACTCCCTCGAAAACAATTTCAGAGTTGGCGGGAACAAGGAGGTCGTTAGTCTCGCACTTGACAACCTCAATTGGCGAGCCAGCAAGAGACCCGATGTACTCTGCCTCGGACAGGCCATCAGGCAGAGGCATGCTAGCCGCCATTATAGCAGCTGGGGGCACACCGAATGCCAGGGCCCACGGCATGTCTTTTCCTGCTTTCTTCCACATCTGGTGAATCTGCCAAATATGTTGAGGCTCGATAACCAAGCCCGCCAAATGTTGTTTGTCGTAAACCATAGCCCGCGCGATGGACCAATTTGTCCACTTCCCATCAGGTGACTGGACAATATGCATGCCGTATGTCTGGACATATTTTCCTCCATCGGACTGATGCAGAAGAGGAGCCGGCAGCGTGGTGAGATCGAATTGGTCTGGAGTGAGGCGGAACTCCTTGCAAGGGCCATTCTCGACTACGACAGGTGGAATAGGATTGGCTGTCTTGCTAGCAACCATTTTGTCGAGAATCTCCTTGATCGTAGCAGAAGGTGGCAAACCCAAGTGTCGAGCAAGACGACCATATTTCTGCGTCGGGTCAGACCTGAGAGAGTTGGGAGCACCCAGGATACGCCACAAGCCGTTTTCGTTCCGGCCTTTCAGCTTGTTGAATAGGGGAGCTCTTTCATCATTCTCGCAGACCTTGCGAATGATGGCGCCGACCTCCAGATCAGCATCGCATTCTTCGTTTATTTCGACGAGATCGTTGTCATCCTTCAGTGCTTGGACAAAGGACCGGAAGTTCAGGTGAGGAGCGTCTTGGGGGGATTGTTCTTGAAGGGAAGCCATGGTTGATAACTGACGGGTCGGTTGAAACTTATGGAGAGGAACTTATTGTAGTCAAGCATAAGTAATACTTCACTTTCATTTTCGTGCGGCGATATCAAAGGTATTTATACACGTCCAGACACATAGAATGAAGATCATGAGGCGTACGATGACCGTCGCTCCGAGTTGACCGAGATCCTCAACTCCACCCCGAGGCCCCCGAGGCCCCCGAATTACGCGAATTTGCCGAGCCATGCAGAGCATCGGTTAGTAATGACTTAAAGTACCATATTGAATAATTAAAATGCCGCTTCTGGCCCCATCTCAGCATCCGAGTTGTCCGAGTGACCCGAGA